AGTTGGCTGCTACCAAGTTTGGCTGAGATTTATCGTTTTGCTCCGACTTGATTGATGGCTTTGTGCTGGCGCCATAATAAAGCCCACTAAAATATATCATATGATATCCTGAGAGAAATTTATGAAATGAGACTGTCTTATACAACCTTAGAGAAATTTTTAGAAATCACGTTGTTTTTCAATCACAGCCATTTTTTTTCTCTCGTAGCATCTAATGTGAGAAAAATATCTGCTGTGACCACGGCATATTTATGATAATTTGCTGCAGCAGGTGTTAGAGTCCACTTACCTACTGTGTCCGCAATATAATCTTTTGTGAGCGCCATGTGCTTAGAAACAATAAAGTGAAAAAGGATAGACGCTGACAAAATGGCTCAATATTTTTTGTTTAGCTGTGTCGACGCCCTAATATTTGTGCACATTCTTTGAAGCATGATGTACGCTCTAGAATAACTTTTATTCTCTGCCCTAAAAATTACATTTGAGTTAGCGCTCCTGATACAGTCTGCTAATGATTCTGATAACATTCGAGTTGGCCCATGATGGCAAATACTTTTCTGTTCATTACATCGTGTAGTAAAGCGAAACTCAATTAAAACGTGTAATAATTAACTCGCTAACTGGCCATGTAACACTGCTATTCTTCACGTCATGGACAACTATGCTGGTAAATAAGTTATGTTTTTGTACACACGCGTTTTGTCGAAATAAAGTATTTTGCTATACGAAGGCAAGATCATGCGAATGTTAAGGTGTCCGTCCAAGAGAGCGCGCAGCATAGCAAAACCGATGTTTCAAGAGTATTCAGGACTGATAAAGGCATTACACATAACAGCACAAATTTCAGCTGCAGTTTGTTCTGGCATAATTAACACAATTAGTGTCAGGAAGGACCTCAGTACCTTGATTGTACTTAATGCAAACAGCTATATTGCTAGTATCCTTGTACTTAATGCAAATAGCTATATTGCAAGTATTCTTGTACTTAATGCAAATTGATATATTGCTAGTATCCTTGTACTTAATGCAAATAGCTATATTGCTAGTTTCCATGTACTTAATGCGAATAGCTATATTGCTAGTATCTTTGTACTTAATATGTAAATAGCTATATTGCTAGTATCCTTGTACTTAATGCAAATAGCTATATTGCTAGTTTCCATGTACTTAATGCAAATAGCTATATTGCTAGTATCCTTGTACTTGATGCAAATAGCTATATTGCTAGTATCCTTGTACTTAATGCAAATAGCTATATTGCTAGTATCCTTGTACTAAAACATATCAGATGCTGAACTTCTGCCATGGTTATAGATCACAGCAATAGAATGTATAGTTGTATTGGCAGGAAGCAGATAATTGCTATGTCCTCGACTTTTTGACTATTGATCTGTCATTGCGCCTCCTTAATCAAGGTCCATTCGCAGTATTTGCTAAATTTACAGTTGTATTAGCTGGATAGTTAGCAGTTGGAGCAACAGCTGTTTCTTGTATAGATTGACTTCAAGAAAAACATTCTGATGCAGCAAGTAAATGACGTCATCTCTCGTATCTATAATTATTGTGCCAGCTTTGTTAGTTTAATGAAAATCCTTACTCTAGTACTCCACGTGCGCACATTCTGTAGTACATTCATCAAAGGGAGACTCGTCAAAGAGGTTGATTATACCCTTGTCTTATATTTCTTTTCAGGTCAGAGTTCATCATGGTATTTGATAGGTTTGACAATGATGAAGACTAGTAAACATCAAGCTGTTTCATACTTTCTTGACATCGCTTCGATATCTTTAGGATCTAGTCGTCATTACGCGCCCAGATTCTATCGTAAGAGTGTCTGTTCTAAAAGCTTCTTGTACGTCTGCTTGCGTAGGAGAATGTTCTCTACGATATTTTGCCTACAGGTTAGAGGACCAATATTTTTTGCCTTGCCTATCAACACTTCAACTACTCTATCAATTATTGATTTAAAATTTCTTCGAATGATTTTCGTATGCTCAATTTCTTTTGGCTTCGTATTACAAATCATATACACTATTTCATCTTGTCATATCAGGATGCAAGTAAATTATTACGCTCTCATTCTTTAAGTTCACGTTGATTCCCTATTGGTCTGTGATAGACATCGAATTTTAGTTTTCTATGCATATTATGAAATGTATATTAAATCAGCGGTGAGGGTTTCATTGTCATTACGGAACAATGCGACCAAGGCAATAAATAACATGACTGTGGCCGCCTTATGCGTCATAAGATCTTTCTGCTGCATATTTTGCTTATATTGACTAGAAAACTATCATCATGCACTTTGTCTTGTTGTAGAATCCAAGGTGATTGCACAAACAGTGTCTGATATTGATATCGATTTGGTGACCAGTTCTTGTTTTCATTGTAGAATAATTTTGTTCAATAAGTATGTTGTCTTTATTTCATTTGCTACGTAGACAACATTGTATGTGTTTGAATCACATACTTAGTAGTTTTCCTACGTCATCTACTGAGGAAAGATAACTTAATTTATTGTTGCTGTATTTCTCTTTATGAAACAGATTTAAATTTTTAGCAGACATTAGCACAATTTCATGACCTCAGATACGAATTCTGTATCTGAAAATAAAATTATTGTTGTTTTCCTGTGCAAGCTGTGCCTATTTTTAAATCATTGCACAGAACATTGCATTCAGGATTAACAAATACTTTTGCTAAAGTAACAATTATGCTTATGTTGCCAGACTGATCGTTGCCTGCTAACAATGTTAGTCCTTTAACAAGTTCAGATGAATTATTTATGTAGCATTTGGTGCTGGTGCCAGACGTCGGCATAACTCTAGCAATATCTTTCTTTAACCCCACTCGAAACTAAGTCTGTAAGCAGTTTTTCATAGTGCTTTATTAAATATTCCGGCTCCTTTAAGCAAAATAAGGTTTACGTCGGCAAGATCTTTTCTTGGTATTTCATTTATTCATACCCTTTTGGGCATAAGGACGACACTTTTGAAAATGCATTAGGCCATAAAACACAATTAATTTTACTATATAGTCTCTACATTTGTTTCTCAGTACTGAACTTTCCACTGTGTGACAATCAATACAAACCATACGTTAATCTAAAATACCTCCAAAGATGACTTTACAGTGAAGTTCTGTCCAAGGGTTGATCTGCATTTTTTTTGAGAGGCTGAATTGTAAACAAAACACCATGCAACGGAACACAGTTTTCACTTCCAAATCATCACCATGACCTTATTACTTAATGTGCACTGTCGCCGAAATACACACAGACAACCACACCATAAGCTCACATTCTAAAGAATAAACAAGTGCTTTTAAATCCTTACCAAGAATGCCAAAATCTATCGCTTGTATCACCACCAAATAGAGACAGGAAAAAGTGATCTAAAAATAGACTGGGACTACATTTGTGGGTACTGAACCGGATTTTATTAATTGTGTACTGATGCCATCAGCCAGTGCAGCAATATTTTCAACGGGCTATTTTAGTCTTCATCAGGAAGAGCTCTGCCATAAATCAGAAAGTAGCTGCACTCCTACCTCTTCAGTTTATTATTTTGCATAAGGTTAGAATTTTAAAGAAAAAGAAATCCCTCCGGGTTTCTTCACCAGTTATACTGGCTATTTAAAACAGACCATGCATATCTTAGTATTGTTAAAAAGAATCTTTAATTTCGTTTATTTTGGTGTATGACTGATGGGAGTAATATGGGTTATACAGCTTGGCCTTACTCCAGATGTACCCCTTTCCAAAAAGTGCTAGCGCCACTTGGTCATTTTTACTTCCTGAATTTCAGAGGTAAATTTAATAAAGAGCCGATAACTTTTTTACATTTTATATATTTGGGAATTATTTCATTGCATTTTCAGGAGCTGGTATTGTCTAGTCTTGCAAAATCCATTTTCCTTTTTTAATAGCTGCTAAGGATAGTGTGCTTTAGACAAATTCATGTTGATATTTGGAGCCCAAGGGAGCAGTCATTTTAGTTAGCAGTGTCCTAAGATCATTGAAAATTGCCAAAAGTACTATATCTAAGGAAATGTCAGTTACATTACATCAAAGTAACATAAAGGTATGCCAACATTCTCTCCACTTTGCATGTTTTAAATGCAAATAACTTCATCTTACATACGTTGCTCTCTCAAAAATGCATAATAACTTGTGAGCGCCCCCTCTTTTGCAGCTGGCACATATGTCGCCTCCAAAAATACTTCTGGTTTTGATGCCACGTCTTCTAATTTTGTTTTCTTAACTCTTGAAGCTCTCTGATTGTTCTAAAATCAGTTACTGTTTCTCTGTTATCTAACGCCCGCAATAACATTCCTAAGACAGCATCAGTAACCTTTTAGTTCTTAATTTGCTTGTCCTGTTAGGTGTAGATGTCACCTTCGTTACTGCTGATGTTATTTGTCTAATTAATGTTTCTGCAACATAGCGCTGCAATTCTTGTTAGCAAGTTTCGTTTCTGAGAAAACGCGGCCACGTATTGGCTGATGTTCCACGTACTGTCTCATGACCATAGCTTTATCATTTGGCTCTTCTACTCCAGCAAAGGCTATTGTATAATATGTTTGCTAAAATATTACATATACATTTCAGAAACACGTTTTTCATTGCGATGAAATGTCATGGAATTATGTGTGTTGCCAACCATAGTCTCGTGGATGACAGTGCTTACATTTTTCAGCGTCTATCACATGACGGCGGTTGGGTGCAATAAAATCAATTTCGCCGTTGTCCAAGTCAGAATACAAAACAAAGCAGTCGGTTCTACGTTTGATGTTTCCTCACGTCCACGTAAGACTGTGCTAAATATATTTAATCAAGGTGCTTGCTTCGTAACAGCAAAATATATTATTTGATTGCATTCATCTTGACCCTGTCAATCATTATTATTATATCATCAAATACTATGACGTAATCGCAGCTATTAGTAAGTTCTCTTTTACAGGCGTCATCGTTTCATCAAAGTCGGAAAGCGTTTTGTACCGCTCCGGTGGCCTAGTGGTTAGAGTGTCCGCCTCGAATGCAGAAGGTCGCGGGTTCAAACCCTGACCGAGTCATACCAAAGACTTTAAAACATGGTACTAACAGCTGCCTCGCTTAGCGCTCAGCATTAAGAGATTTTTGTTAGGACTGGTTGGCATGGTGTGAGGATAATGTGACTGGGTGGGACATCATGCTACATGTCTGCGACATGATGCCCCAGTGTTAGACATCACTATAAACGGTCAGACTGCAGACATCATAGCGATATGACTGAAATATTGTTAAAGCTACGTAAAAATCTAAATAACACACACACACACACACACACACACACACCTATCTTAGCTTGGAACCGTTCCAGTGACTTAGTGGTTAGAGCGTCTACATCGGATGCGGAAGGTCGCGGCTTCGAACATGGACCGAGTCATACCAAAGACACTCAACATTAAGACGTTAGTGTTAGGATTGATCTGCCTTGTGTCAGGATAATGTAACTGGGTGGGACATCATGCCACATGTCTGAGGCATGATGCTCCAGTTCTAGACATCACTACAAACTGTCACACTGCTTATATCGTAGCGATATGACTGAAAAAATGTTAAATCTAAATCACACACACACACACACACACACACACCTTGGCCTGGACTGATCGTGTAGATATTTACCTTGCCCTAGTTGGGTCCATTATTTATCAGCATGAAGATTTGATTAGCCACGACCTGCTGAACCTAATATGATACAATGGAAATTAGCAATTAAAATATTTTATCGTGATTTTCTGACGTCTTTTCTTTTAAAATTTATTACAGGTATGTTTACGAAGTCATCTATGAGAAATGTTACAGCTTTTGGCACCGTCATTGACGACAGCAGCTAAGTACAGAGTCATCAATATCTGTTGAAATTTTTTTTATGGGAGCGTATATACAATATCAATATGGGCAAAAGACGAATTGCAAACTTGCTCGCGTCTGCTGTTGATACATAAGGAAAAAATAAAGATATGTTGACGATGACTTTCTGGGCAACATGTAGTCCAGTAATTAGAAGGCGTCAGAATTTTAAATCATCATAATGCGCCTTTATTTAAAGTTATCACACCCAGAATAGATGTGAAGAGCGCAACAGTAAATTATGTGAGCTTGCCTCAAATTAAACACATGCTGTAGCAACGGAATATGTTGATATCATCATACACATGTTGTAACAACGGAAGTATGTTGATATCATCATACACATGCTGTAACACAGCAATATGTTGATATCATTATACACATGCTGTAATAACGAAATATGTTGATATCATTATACACATGCTGTAACAACGGAATATGTTGATATCATCATACACATGATGTAACAACGCAATATGTTGATATCATCATACACATGCTGTAACAACGGAATATGCTGATATCATCATACACATGCTGTAACAACGGAATATGTTAATATCATCATAAACATGCTGTAACAACCCAATATGTTGATATCATCATACACATGCTGTAACAACGCAATATGTTAATATCATCATACACATGCTGTAACAACGGAATATGCTGATATCATCATACACATGCTGTAATAACGGAATATGTTGATATCATCATCCACATGCTGTAACAACGCAATATGTTGTTATCATCATACACATGCTGTAACAACGGAATATGTTGATATCATCATACACATGCTGTAACAACCCAATATGTTGATATCATCATACACATGCTGTAACAACGCAATATGCTGGTATCATCATACACATGCTGTAACAACGGAATATGCTGATATCATCATCCACATGCTGTAACATCGCAATATGTTGATATCGTCATACACATGCTGTAACAAAGCAATATGCTGATATCAAGCTCATAATAGGTTTCTTAGCCACATTATGTGTTTAACAAAAACTGGTTTCAAGCATCTGCTTTGTCAGAATATTCAACTAACTGCCACGCATTCTTAATGCCCTCTGTTTATGTTATATATTATATCTAATTTCTCCAAGTTAGCTTTGTCATCCATTGTATATGCTTCTTTCATTTCTCCAGGATAGCGTTGAGATCCATTGTATATGCTTCTTTCATTTCTCCAGGTTAGCGTATCCATTGTATATTTCTTTCAATGTATATTTCTTTCTTTCATTTCTCCAAGTTAGAGTTGAGATCCACTGTATATGCTTCTTTCATTTCTCCAGGATAGCGTTGAGATCCACTGTATATGCTTCTTTCATTTCTTTAAATCAGCATACAAATATTGCTTCTAATATGTGCAAGAAATAGAAAACGGTAAAAACCATCCTAAGAAAGACTGTAGTAACTTGGCGAGTCAAAACACAATCGAAGTCCTAAACTTCCTGCCTTAAAGGCGATCGATGTCTCAAACGGACGGCTGCTGCTGGACTGTGCTGACATTAGAAGTTTGTCAGTACCTAAGACTCCCAGGTGAACTTAGCTCGAAAACGTCATGCAGTCATAGATATTTTTGTTGAGACATCCAAATCCGTTCCAGCATTTATGGCTGGAATCACTCTCTTCAATAGGAATTGTGTCTACTATGTCAGCCTCTTTATCTCTTGACACAGTATACCGTTCTCCCGCAAACATCATGTCAAGCTGTTCAAGACAACATGAACACTAGCTCATGTGCCACGAGCTTCTTGTCTTATACAAGAAGGACAATTTTGATCGTAAATATATTAAATGGCTATAATTAGGTTACTAATAATGTAATAGTTTAATGTGATGTGATGTGATAATGTTTTTTAAAGTAGCTTTAACAATTTTTCAGTCATATCGCAACGATGTCCTAACCCTAATTTATTAAGGCATTTAGCCCGAGTTTCCTCTGACCCTTGACATCCCATTTTTTATAGTTGTTTTTAATGTTTGGGTCTACATCTAGTCTGAGAGTAGACGATTGGTCAGCAGAATGTTGTCTTGAACAGCTCGACCTGATCGTTTGCGGGAGAACGGTATACTGTGTTAAGTGATATACAGGCTGAAATAGTAGACACAATTCCTATTGAAGAGGGTGACACCAGTCGTATCGGGTGTTTATGGCTGGTTGGAGTTTAGAGGTGACCCCTCAGGTATACTTGATCATGTATACATCAAATCATTATATATTTTTGAATCGTGAAATATTTCAGTCTTTCAAAGATATAAGATTTACATTGTCTATTAATTCAAAACCTGTTTTGAGCTGTGCAAATTTAGTACTGGTCGTTTCGTTGTAAATATATTTCAATTAAGAAACGATAATTTAATATATAATATAGAATTTCATTTTCTTGACAGAGATTTGAGAATTTTGTTTAAAGATAAACTTTGTGGTTTATAGGTTTTATTATTTGGAGATTTAAATAGTTTTCTTTCGATCTTAAAATTTGTATTCTTTGGTCATATTTTGTCTGTAAAGCATTAGTATTTGTCGTAACGCTTGAGTGAGTTTTGTTCAGGTTCCTTTTACTTCATCGTTTTTAAACATCTAAACTTTGATTCTCTAGGTTTCCAGGTTGGTATTAATCTTTAGGTATTGCTTGTTGGCTTGCATTCCTTGCCTTCTTCCTTGCCCGCTCCGGTGGCCTAGTGGTGAGAGCGTCTGACACAGATGAGGGAGGTCGTGGGTTCGATCCCCGGTCGAGTTATACCAAAGACTTACAAAAATGGTGCTAACAGCTACCTCGCTTGGCGCTCAGTATTAAGAGGTTAGTGTTAGGACTGGTTGGCCTGGTGTCAGGATAATGTGACTGGGTTGGTACATCATGCTACATGTCTGCGTCATGATGCCCCAGTGCTAGACATCACTACAAACTGCCACACTGCAGACATCGTAGCGATATGACTAAATGACTAAAACATTGTTAAAGCTACGTTAAAAGTCATAATCACATCACATCACCTTTCTGAAAGCTTAAAATCGCAAATTTCCACTGCCCTACGAGATCGCTCTCGTTGTCTTAATTTCAGATTCGTATTTATATGGCATTGTAATCTATGATAGTGGTGGGATGTTCCAAAGTCTGCTCTGTTAGATTTTCAAACTTCCATTTAGTGCGTTTGTTTATCCTGTTATGTGTTAATATGTTTGCATGTAAACTTTTATATTCACCTGCTTAGTCTCTGTAACTGTAGTACAACCTTTTCACATTTAGTTGTTGGTGCTTTGATTATCTTCCTCGCAGTCAAGCTATCTTCTATAAGTTCACACCTCATAACGTCATTTGTGTCTGGTCTTTATCGAGCTTTGTTATAATTCGTTGTTTCTTTCTCCGTGTTTTCTGATTTTCCTTACTTCTCAGGGTCAGAGATGACTGTGGCATGTCTTTCATATGTTGTCCCCTCACTCTGCGCTTGAATAAATATTGTTTGTATTAAAATTAGTTCAGTTTCCCTCTATGTTGATTGGTTTTATTTGTTGTTGCTATATGTCTATTTTGCTTTCTATTTGATTTTGCATTTCTTGTATACTGAAATATTGAACAATGATTGTATCTTTTTCAACTATTCTCTTTCTATTTCTATAATCCTTATACCCTCATCAATGTCATACCAATGAAAGTTTAGCATCCTTGCATTTTATACATGGAGACCATATTTATCGTGATATCATTAAACAGAGGCCTCCAAGGAGATCTCTACTGGTATTCATGACATTTGGATCTCTCCAAGTTACTCCTTAATTTTCCTTTGTATTTGGCAAGGGTTCACTCTCAGGTGGTTTTTTTTTTCAGCTCTAATTTATAATTCCATATGGTGATATGTGTTAGCCTTCATTTGGGTGTAATATACCCACACCCTTGGTGTCACTATAGATCAGTGATCGTACGTTCTCATTCAGTCCTTTCCATCTTAGGTCTAACTGGATCGTTCTCATCTTGATTCAGTTTTCTGGTTGTTGTTGTTGTTGTTGTGCTTAACGCCATTTTTCAGCACACGATAGGCTATTCATGTCGGCCAGTATTAATGGTGGAGGAAGAAACCGGGAAATCACCGGAAAGAACCACCGACCCACGAGAAGCTACTGGCAAGCTTTCTCACATATCCACATTCGCCGAAT